CTCATGGCTTGGTTTTTGCTCTGACATGCACTGTTAACTGTTGGACCTTTATATAGACAGGTGTGTGCCTTTCCAAATCATGTCCAATCAATTGAATTTACCACAGGTGGACTCCAATCAAGTTGTAGAAACTTCTCAAGGATGATCAATGGAAACAGGATCCACCTGAGCTCAATTTCGAGTCTCATAGCAAAGGGTCTGAATACTTATGTAAATAAGGTATTTCTGTCTTTTTAGTTCACTTTGTCATTATGGGGTATTGTGTGTAGATTGAGGGGAAAATTAAATAATGTAATCCACTTAAGAATAAGGCTGTAACGTAACAAAACGTGGGAAAAGGGGAAGGGTTCTGAATACTTTTCGAATGCAGAGTGTGAGTGTGTCCACACACCCCTCCTGTCCTGTTTGACGTGTGTGTGTGTGTGCTGGGGTTATGACCTCTAGTAGAGTGGAGGGTAATCCTGCCAGTTGGCTGCCAACTGATGTGATGAGTGACAGTACAGGCCAGCCTAGACACACCGGCAGCAGATGTCAGCCAAAGGTCTGTGTGTGTTTTATGAATGTGCGTGTGAGTAAGAAGGTTATATCCACTAGTTTGGGTTCTTTTGCGTATGGTTATGCCTGTCTGTGTTTATCTTTGTATGGGGGTTGTGTATGTGTTCCTCTGCACATTTAGCTGTGACATTGACATAGTGACCATACTAGCACACAAAGCCCAAACGTGCCCAAGCCAATGCCAGCATTGTGCTGTGTGTGTGTGTTGTGTACAGTACGTGTGTATTCATTCAGTGTGTGTGTTTTACAGTTAGGTGTGGCAGGGTGGGGTATCAGGGCATTTGACTTTGCCTTTATCCAAAGGTAGTACAAGGCTGCCATCCTTGTGTTGTGAGTATGGTGCCGTTCTGTATATGCCTCAGTGCCTCGCCCACACACACAGTGGATATTACTCACACACTAAGTGGCGGTGCTGTGTGTAAACACAGTGACATACTGCACCACATATTACCTACCATGACTCAAGCCTGTTTGCCAGACGGTAAAATATTAGCCTTGGATTGGCCGCCTCCGTCATGTGAGCTTAGACTTAGAGGACACTCGGTCAGAGTCAGACCGACACACCCAGAGAGAGCGAGTTTGTGTGTTTGTGTAATGGCCATGTACTCTTATAATCTCCAGTGGACTTGGTCACCCCTCAGAGCCTGGTTCCTCTCTAGGTTTCTTCCTAGGTTCCTGCCTTTCTAGGGAGTTTTCCTTTAGCCACCGTGCTTCTACATCTGCATTGCTTACTGTTTGGGGTTTTAGGCTGGGTTTCTGTATAGCACTTTATGACATCTGCTGATGTAATAAATGTAAATAAATGTGTGTGTGTGTACGAAAATGTATGCACTCACTAATGTAAGTCGTTCTGGATAAGAGCGCCTCTAAATTACAAAAATGTAAATGTGTGTGAAGGCTTGTAGGAGACCCAACCTGGGAGAATCTCAATTGCATACTCCTTGCAGCCTCTCTCCTCACCTCCTTCTCAAAACCCATTGGATGAGAAAGCCAGAGATCCCTCTCCTCTAATGGGTTTTGAGAGGGAGAGAGGAGTGGGGACACGAGGAGTATGCAATTGAGATTCTCCCCCTGATCCTTATCTGGGTTTATAAGTGGTTAGAGTTGGAGCTATCATGGTCCAAAGACACCAACACAGTCGTGAAGAGGGCATGACAACGCCTCAAAGATTTTGCATGGTCCATCAGCTTTTCAAAGTTCTACAGCTGCACCATCGAGAGCATCTTGACTGTATGGCAACTGCTTGGCATCCGACCGCAAGGCACTACAGAGGGCCAAGCTCCCTGGCATCCAGGACCTCTATACCAGGCGGTGTCAGAGGAAGGCCCAAAAAATGGTCAGACTCCAAGCCACAGACTGTTCTCTTTGCTACGGCACGGCAAGTGATACCAATGCACAAAGTCTGGAACCAACAGAACCCTGAACAGCTTCTACCCCAAATTCCAGAAAATGATGTCATGGCTTTAGAAGCTTCTGATGATAGGCTAATTTACATAATTTGAGTCAAATGGAGGTGTACCTGTGGATGTATTTCAAGGCCTACCTTCAAACTCAGTGCCTCTTTGCTTGACATCATGGGAAAATCAAAATAAATCAGCCAAGACCTCAGAAAAACAATTGTAGACCTCCACAAGTCTGGTTCATCCTTGGGAGCAATTTCCAAACGCCTGATGGTACCACGTTCATCTGTACAAACAATAATACGCAAGTATAAACACCATGGGACCACGCAGCCGTCATACCGCTCAGGAAGGAGACGTGTTCTGTCTCCTAGAGATGAACGTACTTTGGTGCGAAAAGTTCAAATCAATCCCAGAACAACAGCAAAGGACCTTGTGAAGATGCTGGAGGAAACAGGTACAAAAGTATCTATATCCACAGTAAAACGAGTCCTATATCGACATAACCTGAATGGCCGCTCAGCAAGGAAGAAGCCACTGCTCCAAAACCGCCATAAAAAAGCCAGACTACGGTTAGCAACCGCACTTGGGGACAAAGATCGTACTTTTTGGAGAAATGTCCTCTGCTCTGATGAAACAAAAATAGAACTGTTTGGCCAAAATGACCATCGGTATGTTTGGAGGAAAAAGGGGGTAGCTTTCAAGCCGAAGAACACTATCCCAACAGTGAAGCACGGGGGTGGCAGCATCATGCTGTGTGGGTGCTTTGCTGCAGGAGGGACTGGTGCACTTCACAAAATAGATGGCATCATGAGGAAGGAAAATGATTTGGATATATTGAAGCAACATCTCAAGACATCAGTCAGGAAGTTAAAGCTTGGTCGCAAATGGGTCTTTCAAATGGACAATGACCCCAAGCATTCTTCCAAAGTTGTGGCAAAATGGCTTAAGGACAACAAAGTCAAGGTATTGGAGTGGCCATCACAAAGCCCTGAACTCAATCCTATAGAACATTTGTGGGCAGAACTGAAAAAGTGTGTGTGAGCAAGGAGGCCTGCAAACCTGACTCAGTTACACCAGCTCTGTCAGGAGGAATGGGCCAAAATTCACCCAACGTATTGTGGGAAGCTTGTGGAAGGCTACCCGAAACGTTTGACCCAAGTTAAACAATTTAAAGGCAATGCTACCTAATACTAATTGAGTGTATGTAAACTTCTGACCCACTGGGAATGTGATGAAAGAAATAAAAGCTGAAATAAATCATTCTCTACTATTATTCTGACAAAGTGATCCTAACTGACCTAAAACAGGGAATTTTTACTAGGATTAAATGTCAGGAATTGTGAAAAACTGAGTTTAAATGTATTTGGCTAAGGTGTATGTAAACTTCAGACTTCAACTGTATGTACAGTACATAGCTACCTCAATTACCTCGTACCCCTGCACATCGACTCGCTACTGGTACTCCCTGTATATAGCCATGTTATTTTCTACTCCCTGTATATAGGCATGTTATTTTCTACTCCCTGTATATAGCCATGTTATTTTCTACTCCCTATATATAGCCATGTTATTTTCTACTCCCTATATATAGCCATGTTATTGTTACTTGTTTATTTAAAAAATGTATTCACTGCGTATTTATTCCTTGTGTCACTATTTCTAGTTTATTTGTCATCTTATCTTTAACTCTGCATTGTTGGAAAAGGACCCGTAAGGAAGCATTTCACTGTTAGCCTACACCTGTTGTCTACAAAGCATGTGACCAATAAGATTTGATGTGTGTGTGTGTGTGTGTTATAGTGACAGTAGTTGATGAACTTTTCACCATAGCTTTACTACAGGACTGTTTTCAGATGGGACAAATGACAATAGGACCAGGCCAGAACAACCTGCTTAGACATTTGTTAATAATTGTATGAAAAATGTATGCACTCACTAACTGTAAGTCGCTCTGGATAAGAGCGTCTGCTAAATGACTAAAATGTAGATGTAATTGTAACGTGTGATTTAAGCCTCAATAAATTGATATTTCCAAAACCTCTACACATACTGCATTGTGGGAGAAAATGGCTTCAAAGCGTTTAATTTTTTCCTTCGAGAGGAGAGCCCAGAGGGGATGGGAGAGAAAAGGAGGGATGTGTGTATATGAGAGAGGGAACGGTAATGGATAAAAATCATGGATACAAATGAGGCTGAGCTGATTGAAGTCACAGGCCTGAGTGGTCAGCCTGGTCTCATAGACTAGACGTAACATAGTACATGTAATACCGGGACACTCAAATTAGTAGTGAGACTGACTCACCTTTCCATAGAAAGGTCATAATAGTTTGTAGGCCAAACCATTCGGACGCTACAGAAGATTTTGTGAGAAGACTGATTTACGGGATGCCTCATGGTCTGACAAATACCGCTCTAGCTCTTCCACCTTTCGCTGCAGATGCGTATGGTCCACATCAGCGGATACGGTGGATTGAGACGCAGCTCATGCAAGAAACCCCCCCCCCCCCATCTCTAGCTTCAAATGACGGATTTTGATGGGGATTTTTTAATTATTATGCTAATTAGATTTCCGCGGGCCGCGCACATCAACTCTAGGGGGTTAATGGCAAAAATGAAAATCGCGTGGATGGGTGGGCATAAGGTTGCGAGTTCAAATCTCATCACACACAACTTTAGCATTTTAGCTACTTTGCAACTACTTAGCATGTTAGCTAACCCTTCCCCTAACCTTAACCCTTTTAGCTAACCTTAACCCTTTTAGCTAACCCTTCCCCTAACCTTAACCCTTTTAGCTAACCCTTCCCTTAACCTTAACCCCTAGCCTAGCTAACGGTAACCACCTAGGTAGAATCCGTAAGGTATCATACGTTCTGCAAATTCGTAAGCTATTGTACGTTTTGCGAATTCGTAACATTTAATATGAATTGTAATTTGTAACATATCATGCAAAACGGGTGATGGTAATCCACAAATGAATACAAACCATACGAAACTTAACATACCAAATTCAATGGGAGGGATCGGATTTACGTACAAAATAATATGAAATGCTCTGAGACCAGGTTGGAGTGGTGTGCCATATGGGGACACCCTGCCTGCCTGCCTAGCTGGCCAGAGGAGAGGACAGTCCAGAGCATAGCCTGCCCAGCCCTGGAGACTAGGTTTCGAGGGGTGTGTGTGTGGTGCAAGGAGAGGTGAGCCAAGGCCATGCCCAGGCCTGAGTGTGTCTGTCTGCGGGTGATAGCCAGGCTGGGGTGACAGCAGGTTGAGGATATCCCTTGGTTAGGTCCTCTCTCATGTTACTGCAAACTGCTGAGTAGGGCCAGGCACCAATATACACATACTAGGCCTATATATACACACAGCATGATCTAGTATTGTCCTAGGTCTACATTTGTGTGCATTTTAGACAATGTTTTCCTTCTTTTGGCTATATGAATACTCTTACCCTCTCAGTCCCAGTCGGAAGGAATGCCTGGTCTGTCTCACCTTCTCATTTTCTGTGTATGTTCTTCACTCTCTCCTCCCCCTTCTCTCTTTCCATCTCTCGTGCTTGGTAAGCCTAGAGAGTCAGTGGGAGTGTCTTCTGCTGCTGTCCTAATCAGCAAGCAGCTTTGCTCTATCGTCACGGTAACAAGGAGCCTATTACTGGGGGAAACTAGGTATGATTAAGTCTAAGGTTTTACCAGATGGACAACTCAACTCTGTCTGGAGCGGCATGTTCCCCTACACCAGGGCTTGCTGACCTTGTTCCTGGAGAGCTACCGTCCTGTAGGTTTTTGTTCCCAACCCTAATCTAGCGCACCTGATTCTGATAATTTGCTGGTTGATAAACTGAATCAGGTTAATTATAACTGGGGTTGCAGCGAAAACCTACAGGAGGGTAGCTCTCCAGGAACAGGGTTGGAGAGCCCTGCTCTACACACAGTACAGAGTCTCTCACACCATAACTCTATCTCTCATACACCACACAATCTGTCCGTGTGAGTGTTTGTGTGTGGGTACGCAGCATGCGTGTTTCCCGCGCTAGCTGATAAACAGAGGGTGGGTGTGTGCTATCAAACAGATGAGACTCTGTGTGACCGTGTGAGGAAACTCTTTATTCGTTTAACGCAACAGTTCAACAGCCTACAGTCCTCCGTATGAACCTCACCCCAAATGACTTCAGTAACCAGTAGGCCAACACTATCTGTATTATTCAACTGTTGAATGTCATTCTTTGTATATTTCTCTGGTGCTCTACTGACTGTCTCGGAAGCATTCATGTTTAGCAAAAGACAACTTTTTTCTCTCTCTTCCTTCTCCTCCAGAGACGAGGGGCCATCTCTTACGACAGCTCAGATCAGACCGCTCTGTACATTCGTATGCTCGGTAAGTACTACCCACTGTCACATACACATCACATACAGGACAGAACAACTTATGCTAGTTACTGTTAGCACTGCCCACTGTCCCCATACTCACTCAGCAGTACCACCAGCAGTTTTGTTCTAGCACAACTAGCATTCCACTACTAGCAACTGTAAGTACTGCTCAACGTGCCCACATTCAGAATGAACAGGCATCTGGCCTCTAGATTGCACCAAGGAAAGGAAACAATTTCTCAAATAATTTTCTGTTATTGTTTTTGCCACGTTATATAACTTGAGTAACAATGTGAGAAAGGGATACATAAGTTGAGAAACACGAGAGGGATGGATATTAACATAGACATTACAGACCTACATGCATACATACATTACTACATACAGTATCCATGTGCCTTAACTAGGTCAGATGGAGGAGTGGTGTTTTATTAGTTTATTTAAAGCAAACTTTGCTGTTTGCTTGAGTCATTTGAGATGGAAGGGAGTTCCTTGTGATCATGGCTCTATATAAAACTGTGTTGCCTTGAATTCGAGATGAAAAGAGACATTGAAAGAGAGATAGATAGCTGGAGAGTAGATCCTGTCGTCTGATCCCTATACTATGAATTAGGTTTGAGGAGTTACCGAGGTAACTCTTGAGTTCAACTTAGGATAACGGGTACCACGAAAGTGGCTCACCTTTTAGTCAGGTACATTTCTATGGCAACGAATTCTTCAGAACTAACCTGCTCCGTGGCAGGCTAACTCAGGGCTAACTCAATTTATCCTGAATGAAGTCTCTGAGCCGTGAGTTGAGGACCAATTAAGTAATTTTCCCTCCCTCTCGCAAAGATTGCGTCATCATCCCCTTCATTTGAGGAAGATGACTGATTCAATATTTTATTAATCAAATGTTTTTTTGTGTTAAAAAATGTTAAACTACCTATCACATTACACATTAGTAATCATATAATTAATTTGAAACTTCCCGCACAGTAAGACTTTATGACTTAATACAATTATGGGTGGGAAAAAAAGGTGCTTGTGCACACCAAAGTCAGCATTAACGATAAGTAATAACATAAAGAGGGCACTTCTAAAAGCCCATCTCACACCACCGCCTGCTGAATTGTCTTTCATTTTGATTTCGGCACAAATGAAAATGTCACCGACTCGCCCATGGATTGATGTTTCGGCATTGCCTCAATGAAGAGTTCGGCGTTCGACTAGCCGTGTGCGACATGCACGCGCCGTTACAAGCCTGCTAGAGTTGGCGGCAGGTGGACAAGCAATATCCACCATCGTAGTATGGTTGAAGCCTGAGCTGGAATGTGAAGCTAACTGAATTTGGCTAGCTTTAGAAAACCCTGAGGAGATCTAGCTTCCTCTGTAGTATACCCCTCAGGTCAATCCCTGGTCCCTTTGATAATCTTACCATCACATAAGACTTAAGTGATGAATGCTTCTGTCCTGGCCAGCTGTCGGTCCACAGTATTAAGCCTTTCTTTGAATTTTTATCAGATTTTCTGAGGCAGAGATCTAATTTTGTGTCCTGCTGGGCCCATAGGCCTCTGGAATGTTCTAGGCCCTCTGTATGGATGCCAGGAGTCCACTCTACTTAGACCAGTGTGGGTGCTTGTCTGTGTGGTTGATGTTTGTAACAGTCTCTCCTGTCTTGTTGGTATGTACACTTAGTACCATGAGACTGGCTAGCTGAAAGCTATGATCCCTTTTTGATGTCACTTGTTAAATCCACTTCAATCAGTATAGATGAAGGGGAGAAGATGGTTAAAGAATGATTTCTAAGCCTTGAGACAATTGAGACATGGATTGTGTATGTGTGCCATTCAGAGGGTGAATGGGCAAGACAAAAGATTGAAGTGCCTTTGAACAGGGTATGGTAGTAGGTGCCAGGCACACCGGTTTGAGTGTGTCAAGAACTGCAACGCTGCTGGGTTTTTCACGCTCAACAGTTTCCTGTGTGTATCAAGAATGATCCAACAACCAAAGGACATCTAGCCAACTTGACACAACTGTTAGATGCATTGGTGTCAACATGGGCCAGCATCCCTGTGGAACGCTTTCGCCACCTTGTAGCGTCCGTGCCCCGACGAATTGAGGCTGTGCTAAGGGCAAGGTGTTCCTAATGTTTTGTACACTCAGTTTATGTTGGTTATGCTATCTGCACTGCCACACAACAATTGGGGATAACGTTTATGGAATTGAATTAGATTTAGCCCTGCCTACTACTGGGAGTCACAGTCTAGCAAACCGGATCATACCAAAACAGAGTAGACTCTTATGTGGGGACACATGGCCTATTCTGTTCAATGATGTATATAAACCCTGGATTGCTGATGCTATGTATTGGCCAATGAGAGGCTTTGAAGCCACCGGTCGGCCATATTGGCACTCCCCAGTAGGAGCAGTCATCCATAGGAATGAATGGAATTCTACAGTATTTCAATTAAATGTTTCAATGACAAAATTGCATGTAATTAAGTATTTTTCTGTTCTAGTGGGGACTGTAACATTAGTACTCTCTAAAAAGTATACTTTAAGGATAAAAAAAATATATAATTTATTTAAATGTTTAGCTCACATAACATTTTAAAAGTGTAAATATTAACTTTAGAAGCCTTTTAAACCTTGAATACACTACACATTTGCATTTCCTGCTGTGCAGGAAATCCTGCACAACAGGGTGAACAAATTAAGATCCTACACCTGTAGTATTTTAGGATTATATGTTGTTGGAAGATAATAAAAGTTTGACAAAAACCCACACCGATTACTGACCTCACACTAGTTCAAAAAATCTGAAAACAATCTAAATCATTAGCTAGTTTGCTTCAGCATGATGCTTAACTCAACGACTTAACAATTGATTTGCTGCTACTAGCTTTCCCCTGATAATCTCTGGCTCTAGTATTAGCCCTACTTTGAGAGCATGTGTTTGTGTGGAGTCAGTGGATATTACAGTTGTTGTTAAGAGGTGCAGCAGGGTTCCAGTTTAGGATATGCTGGCTATTTGCCAGGGTCTGTGATACGTTCCTAGGCCAGTCTGATCTGTTGCTGTGTTGTCATACAATGGGTTTAAGAGCATTAATGTAGAGGTCAGGGTACATGGGTAATCAACTGTCTGACCCGTATTCCCCCCAGCTCAAGGCCTGTTGGCACGCAGAATGGAAAAACTTGACTCTATGCATCTCATCGCACACACACACAACTACTTGGCATTGCATCAGTGTGAGAGAGTGGAAGAGTTTGTTTACACCATACATAACCTTGTATATTTTCATTTAATCTGTGAATGCTGTGTAAGCTATATGTAATGTGACCATCCATTACTTCCATTTAATGGTAATTCCCAGTTTTGCTATTTTGCTAGGGGCTTTTGTTATATTCAAACAGCTGTTCCCAAGTAAGTAGCATGCTGGTGGGAGACTGACTGTACAGTACTGTATGACTTGATCTAATGTACAAATCAGTACTGAAGAGCTGCATTAGTCTGTCAGTCTGACTCCTCTAGAAGACTAGTATTGACTGGGTTGCCTGGGCCAGTGCCATAGTACCATAACGAGACTGTCAGCACTCGCCTCTGAGTATAAAGCACAAACCTGTCTACTCTACTGTGTGTTACTGTAGGTCGCTATGTTGCTCCTAGCCTGTCTGACTACCAATACTAGTGTTACTGTAGGTCGCTATGTTGCTCCTAGCCTGTCTGACTACCAATACTAGTGTTACTGTAGGTCGCTATGTTGCTCCTAGCCTGTCTGACTACCAATACTAGTGTTACTGTAGGTCGCTATGTTGCTCCTAGCCTGTCTGACTACCAATACTAGTGTTACTGTAGGTCGCTATGTTGCTCCTAGCCTGTCTGACTACCAATACTAGTGTTACTGTAGGTCGCTATGTTGCTCCTAGCCTGTCTGACTACCAATACTAGTGTTACTGTAGGTCTCTCTGCTGTTCCTAGCCTGTCTGACTACCAATACTAGTGTTACTGTAGGTCGCTATGTTGCTCCTAGCCTGTCTGACTACCAATACTAGTGTTACTGTAGGTCGCTATGTTGCTCCTAGCCTGTCTGACTACCAATACTAGTGTTACTGTAGGTTTCTCTGCTGTTCCTAGCCTGTCTGACTACCAATACTAGTGTTACTGTAGCCCTGCCTGGCATGGCATTGCATGCTCAGCTGTCAGCTGTTCCTAGCTCTTTTAGGCTGTGTTAACACAGACAGCCCAATTCTGATGTTTTTTTTTTCACTAATAGGTCTGTTGACCAATAAGATCTGATGTGAAGAAATCTGATGTGATTGGTCAAAAGACCAATTAGTGGAAAAAGTATCAGAATTGAGCGGTCTTTGTTAACACAGCCTTGGTGGTCTACAAGCTGCCTCCCTTTGAAGATTGAGAGAGCGTGAAAGTGTTTGTGTGTGTGTGAGAGACAGAGGAGAGCCTGTGTGTGTGTGTGTGTGTAGGAGAGCTCATTTTCCACTGTATGTTCCATGACTCTTGAGGATGTGTGTGTTGCATCTGAGTATAAAGCACAAACCTGTCTACTCTACTGTAGGTCGCTATGTTGCTCCTAGCCTGTCTGACTACCAATACTAGTGTTACTGTAGGTCGCTATGTTGCTCCTAGCCTGTCTGACTACCAATACTAGTGTTACTGTAGGTCGCTATGTTGCTCCTAGCCTGTCTGACTACCAATACTAGTGTTACTGTAGGTCGCTCTGCTGCTCCTAGCCTGTCTGACTACCAATACTAGTGTTACTGTAGGTCGCTATGTTGCTCCTAGCCTGTCTGACTACCAATACTAGTGTTACTGTAGGTCGCTATGTTGCTCCTAGCCTGTCTGACTACCAATACTAGTGTTACTGTAGGTCGCTATGTTGCTCCTAGCCTGTCTGACTACCAATACTAGTGTTACTGTAGGTCGCTATGTTGCTCCTAGCCTGTCTGACTACCAATACTAGTGTTACTGTAGGTCGCTCTGCTGCTCCTAGCCTGTCTGACTACCAATACTAGTGTTACTGTAGGTCGCTCTGCTGTTCCTAGCCTGTCTGACTACCAATACTAGTGTTACTGTAGGTCGCTATGTTGCTCCTAGCCTGTCTGACTACCAATACTAGTGTTACTGTAGGTCGCTATGTTGCTCCTAGCCTGTCTGACTACCAATACTAGTGTTACTGTAGGTCTCTATGTTGCTCCTAGCCTGTCTGACTACCAATACTAGTGTTACTGTAGGTCGCTATGTTGCTCCTAGCCTGTCTGACTACCAATACTAGTGTTACTGTAGGTCGCTATGTTGCTCCTAGCCTGTCTGACTACCAATACTAGTGTTACTGTAGGTCGCTATGTTGCTCCTAGCCTGTCTGACTACCAATACTAGTGTTACTGTAGGTCGCTATGTTGCTCCTAGCCTGTCTGACTACCAATACTAGTGTTACTGTAGGTCGCTATGTTGCTCCTAGCCTGTCTGACTACCAATACTAGTGTTACTGTAGGTCGCTATGTTGCTCCTAGCCTGTCTGACTACCAATACTAGTGTTACTGTAGGTCGCTATGTTGCTCCTAGCCTGTCTGACTACCAATACTAGTGTTACTGTAGGTCGCTATGTTGCTCCTAGCCTGTCTGACTACCAATACTAGTGTTACTGTAGGTCGCTATGTTGCTCCTAGCCTGTCTGACTACCAATACTAGTGTTACTGTAGGTCGCTATGTTGCTCCTAGCCTGTCTGACTACCAATACTAGTGTTACTGTAGGTCGCTATGTTGCTCCTAGCCTGTCTGACTACCAATACTAGTGTTACTGTAGGTCGCTATGTTGCTCCTAGCCTGTCTGACTACCAATACTAGTGTTACTGTAGGTCGCTATGTTGCTCCTAGCCTGTCTGACTACCAATACTAGTGTTACTGTAGGTCGCTATGTTGCTCCTAGCCTGTCTGACTACCAATACTAGTGTTACTGTAGGTCGCTATGTTGCTCCTAGCCTGTCTGACTACCAATACTAGTGTTACTGTAGGTCGCTATGTTGCTCCTAGCCTGTCTGACTACCAATACTAGTGTTACTGTAGGTCGCTATGTTGCTCCTAGCCTGTCTGACTACCAATACTAGTGTTACTGTAGGTCGCTATGTTGCTCCTAGCCTGTCTGACTACCAATACTAGTGTTACTGTAGGTCGCTATGTTGCTCCTAGCCTGTCTGACTACCAATACTAGTGTTACTGTAGGTCGCTATGTTGCTCCTAGCCTGTCTGACTACCAATACTAGTGTTACTGTAGCCCTGCCTGGCATGGCATTGCATGCTCAGCTGTCAGCTATTCCTAGCTCTTTTACATTTACATTTTATCAGACGCTCTTATCCAGAGCGACTTACAGTTAGTGAATACATATTATTATTTTTATACTGGCCCCCTGTGGGAATCGAACCCACAACCCTGGCGTTGCAAACGCCATGCTCTATCAACTGAGCTACATCCCTGCCGGCCATTCCCTCCCCTACCCTGGACGACGCTGGGCCAATTGTGCGCCGCCCATGAGTCTCCCGGTCGCGGCCGGCTGCGACAGAGCCTGGATTCTAGTGGCACAGTTAGCACTGCGATGCAGTGCCTTAGACCACTGCGCCACTCAGGAGTTGTTAACACAGGCAGCCCAATTCTGATATTGTTTTTCACTAATAGGTCTGTTGATCAATAAGATCTGATGTGAAGAAATCTGATGTGATTGGTCAAAAGACCAATTAGTGGAAAAAAGTATCATAATTGAGCTGTCTTTGTTAACACAGCCTTGGTGGTCTACAAGCTGCCTCCCTTTGAAGATTTAGAGAGCGTGAAAGTGTTTGTGCGTGTGTGTGTGTGTGTGTGTGTGTGGGAAGGACAGCTCATTTTCCACTGTATGTTCCATGACTCTTGAGGATGTGTGTGTTGCTTCCCTCTAGGAGATGTGAGAGTGAGAAGTCGGGTAGGATTTCAACCAGAAGAAAAAGGTTCCCACTTGTACCTGTGCATCGACTTCCGCACCCTACACTGTGAGTATGAACCATGAAAAAACCTTCCATTCCTCACTATCTGCCTTAGAGGCTTTTCTCATTGACGAAAGTTGAAGGAGAGGCAGCGCGATGACATTTCAATTGAAATAATATGTAAATAACTTTTCATTTAACAGTAGCAAAGGAATGTCATGTGCCGCGAGAGCGTTTGGCGCTTGGCAACGGACATTTGCTGTAAATATCCCTACATAGCCACTAGCCAGTATGCTTCAACTTTGCAATCGACTTTTCATCTTAACCATATTACACATTTGAAAAAAATTGAACCAAACCACATTACACTCTTGAATAATGCAACAATTCACAAGCATGTGTAGACAATAAAGGATTTATTTTCTAGTCTGTAGGCTACTCGTTACATTTTAGCTTCAAGACAAAAGCACAGAGTTGCTAACAGCATGTCTTCATCAAGTAACGTTAGCCTATCAAAAATGTAAGATAAGGCCAACTACCCCTCTCATACCAATATAAAGGTACAGTAGGTCTACCTTACAACATTACAAGTAAGGCTTCATTTTGTTCAATATCATGGAAATCATTTGTTGTACATGTGGTAAAAGCAAATTGCGACTGAAAACGTGGGTATAATATATATATATATATATATATATATATATATATATATATATATATATATATATATATATATATATATATATATATATATATATATATATATATATATACATACACTGCTCAAAAAAATAAAGGGAACACTTAAACAACACAATGTAACTCCAAGTCAATCACACTTCTGTGAAATCAAACTGTCCACTTAGGAAGCAACACTGATTGACAATAAATTTCACATGCTGTTGTGCAAATGGAATAGACAACAGGTGGAAATTATAGGCAATTAGCAAGACACCCCCAATAAAGAAGTGGTTCTGCAGGTGGTGACCACAGACCACTTCTCAGTTCCTATGCTTCCTGGCTGATGTTTTGGTCACTTTTGAATGCTGGTGGTGCTTTCACTCTAGTGGTAGCATGAGACGGAGTCTACAACCCACACAAGTGGCTCAGGTAGTGCAGCTCATCCAGGATGGCACATCAATGCGAGCTGTGGCAAGAAGGTTTGCTGTGTCTGTCAGCGTAGTGTCCAGAGCATGGTGGCGCTACCAGGAGACAGGCCAGTACATCAGGAGACGTGGAGGAGGCCGTAGGAGGGCAACAACCCAGCAGCAGGACCGCTACCTCCGCCTTTGTGCAAGGAGGAGCAGGTGGAGCACTGCCAGAGCCCTGCAAAATGACCTCCAGCAGGCCACAAATGTGCATGTGTCTGCTCAAACGGTCAGAAACAGACTCCATGAGGGTGGTATGAGGGCCCGACGTTCACAGGTGGGGGTTGTGCTTACAGCCCAACACCGTGCAGGACGTTTGGCATTTGCCAGAGAACACCAATATTGGCAAATTCGCCACTGGCGCCCTGTGCTCTTCACAGATGAAAGCAGGTTCACACTGAGAACATGTGACAGATGTGACAGAGTCTGGAGACGCCATGGAGAACGTTCTGCTGCCTGCAACATCCTCCAGCATGACCGGTTTGGCGGTGGGTCAGTCATGGTGTGGGGTGGCATTTCTTTGGGGGGCCGCACAGCCCTCCATGTGCTCGCCAGAGGTAGCCTGACTGCCATTAGGTACCGAGATGAGATCCTCAGACCCCTTGTGAGACCATATGCTGGTGCGGTTGGCCCTGGGTTCCTCCTAATGCAAGACAATGCTAGACCTCATGTGGCTGAAGTGTGTCAGCAGTTCCTGCAAGAGGAAGGCATTGATGCTATGGACTGGCCCGCCCGTTCCCCAGACCTGAATCCAATTGAACACATCTGGGACATCATGTCTCGCTCCATCCACCAACGCCACGTTGCACCACAGACTGTCCAGGAGTTGGCAGATGCTTTAGTTCAGGTCTGGGAGGAGATCCCTCAGGAGACCATCCGCCACCTCATCAGGAGCATGCCCAGGCGTTGTAGGGAGGTCATACAGGCACGTGGAGGCCACACACACTACTGAGCCTCATTTTGACTTGTTTTAAGGACATTACATCAAAGTTGGATCAGCCTGTAGTGTGGTTTTCCACTTTAATTTTGAGGGTGACTCCAAATCCAGACCTCCATGGGTTGATACATTTGATTTCCATTGATCATTTTTGTGTGATTTTGTTGTCAGCACATTCAACTATGTAAAGAAAAAAGTATTTAATAAGATTATTTCATTCATTCAGATCTATGATGTGTTTAAGTGTTCCCTTTATTTTTTTGAGCAGTGTATATACAGTGAGGGAAAAAAGTATTTGATCCCCTGCTGATTTTGTACGTTTGCCCACTGACAAATACATGATCAGTCTATAATTTTAATGGTAGGTTTATTTGAACAGTGAGAGACAGAATAACAACAACAAAATCCAGAAAAACGCATGTCAAAAATGTTATAAATTGATTTGCATTTTAATGAGGGAAATAAGTATTTGACCCCTCTGCAAAACATGACTTAGTACTTGGTGGCAAAACCCTTGTTGGCAATCACAGAGGTCAGACGTTTCTTGTAGTTGGCCACCAGGTTTGCACACATCTCAGGAGGGATTTTGTCCCACTCCTCTTTGCAGATCTTCTCCAAGTCATTAAGGTTTCGAGGCTGAGGTTTGGCAACTCGAATCTTCAGCTCCCTCCACAGATTTTCTATGGGATTAAGGTCTGGAGACTGGCTAGGCCATTCCAGGACCTTAATGTGCTTCTTCTTGAGCCACTCCTTTGTTGCCTTGGCCATGTGTTTTGGGTCATTGTCATGCTGGAATACCCATCCACGACCCATTTTCAATGACCTGGCTGAGGGAAGGAGGTTCTCACCCAAGATTTGACGGTACATGGCCCCGTCCATCGTCCCTTTGATGCGGTGAAGTTGTCCTGTCCCCTTAGCAGAAAAACACCCCCAAAGAATAATGTTTCCACCTCCATGTTTGACGGTGGGGATGGTGTTCTTGGGGTCATAGGCAGCATTCCTCCTCTTCCAAACACGGCAAGTTGAGTTGATGCCAAATAGCTCCATTTTGGTCTCATCTGACCACAACACTTTCACCCAGTTCTCCTCTGAATCATTCAGATGTTCATTGGCAAACTTCAGACGGGCCTGTAAATGTGCTTTCTTGAGCAGGGGGACCTTGCGGGCGCTGCAGGATTTCAGTCCTTCACGGTGTAGTGTGTTACCAATTGTTTTCTTGGTGACTATGGTCCCAGCTACCTTGAGATCATTGACAAGATCCTCCCGTGTAGTTATGGGCTGATTCCTCACCGTTCTCATGATCATTGCAACTCCACGAGGTGAGATCTTGCATGGAGCCCCAGGCCGAGGGAGATTGACAGTTATTTTGTGTTTCTTCCATTTGCGAATAATCGCACCAACTGTTGTCACCTTCTCACCAAGCTGCTTGGTGATGGTCTTGTAGCCCATTCCAGCCTTGTGTAGGTCTACAATCTTGTCCCTGACATCCTTTTAGAGCTCTTTGGTCTTGGCCATGGTGGAGAGTTTGGAATCTGATTGACTCCCTTTAAGAGTGTGCTCCTAATCTCGGCTCGTTACCTGTATAAAAGACACCTGGGAGCCAGAAATCTTTCTGATTGAGAGTGGTTCAAATACTTATTTCCCTCATTAAAATGCAAATCAATTTATAACATTTCTTTCTGGATTTTTTTGTTGTTATTCTGTCTCTCACTGTTCAAATAAACCTACTATTAAAATTATAGACTGATCATTTCTTTGTCAGTGGGCAAACGTACAAAATCAGCAGGGGATCAAATACTTTTTTTCCCTCACTGTATATATATATATATATATACAGCTCTGGAAAAAATTAAGAGACCACAGCAAAAAGATAAGTTTCTCTGGTTTTACTATTTATAGGTATGTGTTTGGGTGAAATTAACATTTTTGTTTTATTCTATAAACTACTGACAACATTTCTCCCAAATTCCAAATAAAAATATTGTCATTTAGAGCATTTATTTGCAGAAAATGACAACTGGTCAAAATAACAAAAAATATGCAGTTTTGTTAGACCTCGAATAATGCAAAGAAAATAAGTTCATGTTAATTTTTAAACAACACAATACTAATGTTTTAACTAAGGAAGAGTTCAGAAATCAATATTTGGTGGAATAACCGTCATTTTCAATCACAGCTTTCATGCGTCTTGGCATGCTCTTCACCAGTCTTTCACATTGATGTTGGGTGACTTTATGCCTCTCCTGGCACAGAAATTCAAGCAGCTCGGCTTTGTTTGATGGCTTGTGACCATCCATCTTCCTCTTGATCACATTCCAGAAGTTTTCAATGGGGTTCAGGTCTGGAGATTGGGCTGGCCATGACAGGGTTTTGATCTGGTGGTCCTCCATCCACACCTTGATTGACCTGGCTGTGTGGCATGGCGCATTGTCCTGCTGGAAAAACCAATCCTCAGAGTTGGGGAACAATGTCAGAGCAAAAGGAAGCAAGTTTTCTTCCAGGACAACCTTGTAGGTGGCTTGATTCATGCGTCCTTCACAAAGACAAATCTGCCCGATTCCAGCATTGCTGAAGCACCCCCAGATCATCACCGATCCTCCACCAAATTTCACAGTGGGTGCGAGACTGTGGCTTGTAGGCCTCTCCAGGTCTCCGTCTAACCATTAGGCGACCAGGTGTTGGGTAAAGCTGAAAATTGGACTCATCAGATAAGATTACCTTACTCCAGTCCTCTACGGCCCAATCCTAATGGTATTTTGCAAACTTCAGCCTGGCTCTTCTTTGCTTCTCATTGATGAAGGGCTTTTTTCTAGCTTTGCACGACTTCAGCCCTGCCCCTAGGAGACTGTTTTGAAACGTCCTCGCCGTGCACTTCACCCCAGCTGCCGTTTGCCATTATTTTTGTAGGTCACTTGATGTCATCCTACGGTTGTTGAGTGACATTCGAATAAGTTGGCGGTCATCCCGGTCAGTAGAGAGTCGTTTTCGCCCTCTGCCGGTCTGTAGCTTTGTTGTCCCCAATGTCTGCTGCTTGACCTTGTTCTTATGAACTGTCGTCTTTGAAATTTTAAGGATGGAAGCAACCTGACGCTCACTGTATCCCTCTGCCAGTAAAGCCAGAATTTAACCCTTCTTTTCCTCACTCAAAACTTTCCTTTTCAACTCTTTTGGCATGGTCAATAGTTATTTTTTTTATTAATATTACTTTTGAGGTACTATTAGCACTGTTTTTGCCATCCAGCTGGTCCTATTGCAAGAGGATAGTGATGACCACAGCAGTGGTTTTTATACTTTTCCTCGTTAAATAAGATTTGGTTCAGGTGATCACCTAATCAGTACCTAATTCAGTAGAATGAGGTGTGCCTGTGTTGGAATTCAACAGACACTGGAATGGAATGGCTGTCATACATGTAGAGATGCTGATTTAAGATATATTTGCAGTGGTCTCTTAATTTTTTCCAGAGCTGTATGTATGTGTGTGTGTGTGTGTATGTATATATATATATATATATATATATATATATCCTTTAAAAAAATATATTTCCCTTCATTACTTTCCAACCCCACCACCCCTTCCCTAATTGGAGTAAACTAGTGAACAACAATGCTTAGGCCTCTACTTCCAGCTTATACATACTATATACATTTTATGGACACAGTCAATTTTACAACAATTCTATTTGTTTGTTTTTACTCCTGAACTTCCTCTACCCTCAACCTCCAATCATTTTCATCATGTCCATCCGGTTTGCTTCTATAAATAATATGCCATGTCTTTCTAACTGTGCTCTTTCACAAAAGCTCTCAACCTATATACTTCTCATGGACACTATATGCTTTACGTTAGTTATCTTGTTGTTATTAGTTGTTGTTATTAGTCCCATCCTTCAGCTCCATTCAACACCTCCCATCTTTCTCTTAACACCATCCATATTGGATTTCTATTTGCCATATATTTTTCAACTGTGATGTTTCACAAAAGTTCTGAACCCTTCTATTCTCATTGTTTCTACAGATTGTAAATTGAAAATAAAATGTTTTGCTAAAAGTATTATTATATTATTGATCGATTGACTGTGACTTTTCAGATCACCCAGTAGTGCTATATGCAGGGTTAGCTCCAGGTAAATATTGCAATCCTTCAGCCATTCCTGGACCTGTGACCAAAAACAAGCTACAAATGATCTAATGATTCTGTCTCTTCACAGCAAAATCTGCAGAGCTGGGAAGATTGTATCCCCCATAGAAATAACATTCTATTGGTAGCAAGAATTTTGTATAATAATTTAAATTGAAAAATTGTAAGTTTTGAATCCGGCGTCGTTTTGCGTATCAGTTCATAAACACTATGCCATGGAATCGGTACATCAGAAATCTCTTCCCAACTATTTTGCAATCTATATGGGACGGCTGTCAATCCTTTGGTCCTTAAATGAAACTGGTATACTTTTTTATTTATCACCATTTTCTTTAACCAATTATGTTCTTTAATGCACGGCCGACAGACAAGTTCCTTACTTTTTCCCCCTTCCACTTTCCTCTTCCATTTTTGCAGTAATGCTGCAATTATTTTGTTTTGGGTAGTTGACATTTCCGTATGTTTTTGTTAGCTGCATGTGCGACATAACTCCACCAGTCCTACCTATGCATTATATTTGTATCTACCATGTTGTAAACCGTTTACTTCTAAACAACTCCCATGTTTTAAGTCTTTGTCTCTCTGTCTTCAGCCTGCTCAGACTCCGCCTCTAGTCTTATCCCTGGTCCTGGCTTCAGTTCGGCTGGGCCTGTGTCTGGTAGGAGGCTCCGCAGACTGCTCAGCTTCCAGAGGTACCTGCACTCCTCCCGTCTGCTCCTGGGAACACCCCACCTCAACCCCCTCCACATCCTGGATGAGGACTACACCGGACAGGCCAAGGTCCGATGCTCACACTGTCTTAGCCAATCATACACTCGTATGCATGCATACACAATTCATGTTTATGTACATGTCTAAATACAGACTTACATTTGCGGGGGGGTTTTCTCTTGCAGTGTATGCTGGAAAGGGTCGCGACCTGGAATTTTGACATTTTCCTCTACGATAGATTAACGAATGGTATGTTTCTGACAGATGTCCATCTTTCTCCCAAAAGCCTTACCTACATATTTGTATTGTCATCATCATCAGAGAATGAGCAAAACAGTGTAACATGCTCTGGATAAGAGCGTCTGCTAAATGACGTAAATGTAAATGTAACATTACTGCATAGGCCTCCTTTCAACTCATTAGATATTTGTGGACAATGGCGCCATCTGGTGTTTGTTTTGATGAATGCTGTAAAGAAGTGGAATGGTCATTTTCCATAGATTTTCATTTTAATGCTGATGCTATTGCAATGCTAAACTCCACCACAACCACAAAAATACATAACTACCCACCCCCAAACACTATTCTTGACCAGCTCTTTAAACTACTTCTCCCATGTCTCCCCTCTCCATGCAGGAAACAGCCTGGTGACGCTGACTTTCCACCTCCTGAACCAGTATGGTCTGTTGGAGCTGTTTCAGCTGGACATGGTGAAGCTGTGGCGCTTCCTGGTCATGGTGCAGGAGGACTACCATAGCCTCAACCCCTACCACAATGCAGTGCACGCCGCTGACGTCACGCAGGCCATGTACTGCTACCTGCGAGAACCCAAGGTATCAGACAGAGAGATTGACAGCTTACGAGTCTTTAGGCCAGAGGCAAGGTTACCTATCATGTATATGAGCAGAGAAAAGTAATCCGATGTTCCCTGTCTCTCCGTAGCTGGCCAAGTCCCTGACGTCCTGTGACATCCTCCTGGGCCTGCTGGCAGCCGCCACTCATGACCTGGACCACCCGGGAGTTAACCAGCCCTTCCTCATCAAGACCAACCACTACCTGGCCAAGCTCTACAGGGTGAGAGCACATAGCTGGTGCAGTCCACAGCTCCTGTAGCATTCATATTAGATCTGACTTGAGGACACTAGATGGCCATGCTCGACAGGACAAAAGTGTTGATAACTTGACCTAGTTCATGGGTTATTTGTTCTTATTTTAAGATAACGTTGAGGTCTATGATTGAATGCACTTAGTAGCTCAGAATAACAGCGTTATAAAAATGCTAATGTATATGTCTCTGTGGTCTGTAGAATTCCTCTGTTCTGGAGAACCACCACTGGAGGTCTGCAGTAGGTCTGCTCAGAGAGACCGGCCTGTTCTCCCACCTGCCTGCTGAGGACGGGTCAGTCTGTTAATTTATTTTCCAAGTGATTTAATGAGACTCTGTTTTTAAAGATCAAGGTAATGAGTTGTTGTTGTACACTCAAGTATGGTCGTGTACTTTTGAAGCATATTTAATGAATTCCTCTGTTCATCTCCTCAGGCTGAAGATGGAGCGCCAACTGGGTTCTCTGATCCTGGCTACTGACATCAGCAGACAGAATGAGTACCTGGGAAAGTTCAGGACACACCTGGACCAGGATGACCTGTGCCTGAGCAATGCCAGCCACCGACACTTCATCCTCCAGGTCAGTTACTAGCTAGGCCATAGGCTTAGAGTTGGGCCTGGGGAAACTGTGTAGAACCGGCCATTTTGGATCTTATCAGCTGGAAACTGTGGGGGTCTAACTGGATATTTTGGCTCTAACTCCTTGCAGATGGCTCTGAAGTGTGCAGACATCTGCAACCCCTGCAGACCCTGGGAGCTGAGCAAACAGTGGAGCGAGAAAGTGACGGAAGAGTTCTTCCACCAAGGTAGCCTCTCATTAATCCTCTTGTTCTGTATGGTTCTCACTGTCCCTCTCCTCTTAGTCTCTCGTTCTGTATGGTTCTCCCTCTCCCTCTCCTCTTAGTCTCTCGTTCTGTATGGTTCTCCCTCTCCCTCTCCTCTTAGTCTCTTGTTCTGTATGGTTCTCACTCTCCCTCTCCTCATAGTCTCTCGTTCTGTATGGTTCTCACTCTCCCTCTCCTCTTAGTCTCTCGTTCTGTATGGTTCTCACTCTCCCCTCTCCTCTAGTCTCTTGTTCTGTATGGTTCTCCTCTCCTCTCCTCATAGTCTCTCGTTCTGTATGGTTCTCACTCTCCCTCTCCTCATAGTCTCTCGTTCTGTATGGTTCTCACTCTCCCTCTCCCCTTAGTCTCTCGTTCTGTATGGTTCTCACTCTCCCTCTCCTCATAGTCTCTCGTTCTGTATGGTTCTCACTCTCCCTCTCTCTTCCCGTCTGTATGTTCTCCTCTCCCCTCATATCTCTCGTTCTGGTATGTTCTTCACTCTCCCTCTCCTCATAGTCTCTCGTTCTGTATGGTTCTCACTCTCCCTCTCCTCATAGTCTCTCGTTCTGTATGGTTCTCACTCTCCCTCTCCTCATAGTCTCTCGTTCTGTATGGTTCTCCCTCTCCCTCTCCTCATAGTCCTCTCTCATCGTATTGTTCTCACTCTCCCTCTCCTCATAGTCTCTCGTTCTGTACGGTTCTCTCCCTCTCCCCCTCTCATAGTCTCCTCGTTCTGTATGGTCTCACTCTCTCCCTCTCCTCTTAATCCTCCTTCTGTATGGTTCTCCCCCCTCTCCCTCCGCCTCATAGTACTCTCTTCTGTATGGGTTCTCACTCTCCCTCTCCCCATAGTCTCCTCGTTCTGTATGGTTCTCCCTTCCTTCCCTCCTCCGCAACGTCTCTCGTTCTGTAAATTGTTTTCTCACTCTCCCTCTCCTCATATCGCTCGTTCGTAGGTTTCTTCCTCTCCCCCTCTCCTCAGAGTCTCTCTTTTCTTATGGTTCTCACTCTCCTCTCCCCATAGTCTCCGGTCGTTCTTTATGGTTCTCCCTCTCCCTCCCTCAGTCCCCCTAGTCCTCTCGTTCCCTGTAGGTTCTCTCTCCCTCTCCCTCTCCTCTAGTCTCCTCCGTTTCTGTATGGTTCTCCCTCTCTCCCTCTCCTCATAGTCTCAGTCTCGTCGTTCCTGTATGGTTTCTCACTTTCCCCCCCCTTCTCCCCTCTTCCTCAAGTCTCTCGTTTGTAGGTTCTCACTCTCCCCTCATCCCCCATATTCTCCTTCCGTTCTGATGTTCTCCCTCCTGCCCTCTCCTCATAGGTCTCTTGTTCTGTATGGTTTCCTCTCCCTCTCCCTCTCCCATAGCTCCTCGTTCCCTGTATGGTTTCTCTTCTCCCGCTCTCCATCCCTCTCCTCATAGAGTCTCTCTCTTCTCGTGCTGTAAATGGTTCTCACTCTCCCTCTCCCCATAGTTCCCTCTCGTTCTGTAATGTTCTCACTCTCCCTCTTCGTCCCTCCCTCTCCCTTAGTCCTCCTCGTTCTGGATTGTTCTCTCACTCTCCTCTCCCCCATAGTCCCCTCCGCGTTCTGTATGGTTCTCTTTCTCCCTCTCCCTCTCCTCAAGTCCGCTTGTTTTCTGTATGTTCTCGCCCATCTCCCTCTCCTCATGTCCTCCTCGTTCTGTATGGTTCCTCTCACTCTCCCTCTTCCCCTTGTCCCCGCCTCTTTCTGTATGGTTCTCCCTCTCGCCCTCTCCCCATAGCTCCCTCCTCGTTCTGTATTGTTCTCCCTCTCCCCCTTCTTCATATCCCTCTCGTTCTGTATGGTTCTCTCCCTCTCCCCTCTCCTCCTCATATCTCTCTTCGTTTCTGTATGGTTCTCCTCTCCCGCTCCTCATATCTCTCTTCTGTAATGGTTCTCTCCCTCCCTCCTCCCCACTCTTCATAGTCTCATCGTTCTGTAGGGTTCTCCCTCCCCCTCCCCCTCTCCCTCTTATCTCTCGTTCTGTATGGTTTTCTCACTCTCCTCTCCCTCTCCTCTTAGTCCTCTCTCTCCTCTCTTCTGTGGGGTCTCACTCTCCTCCCTCTCTCAAGTCTCGCGTTTCTTATGGTGCTCACGGTCACGCTCCCTCATAGTCTCCTCTCTTCTGTATGGTTCTCACTCTCCCTCTCCTCTTAGTCTCTCCGTCTTTATGTTCTTCCTGTTCTCCCTCTCCCTCTCCCTCATGTCTTCGTTCCTGTATGGTTCTTTCCCTCTCCCTCTCTTCTATTCCTTTCTCGTTCTGTATGGTTCTCCCGCTCCCTCTCCTCTTAGGTCTCCTCTTGTTCTGTATGGTTATCCCTCTCCCTCTCTCTATCCTCTCTCTGTATGGTTTCTCCCTCTCCTCATATCTCTCGTTCTGTATGGTTCTCCCTCCCTCTCCCTCTCATGTCTCTCGTTCTGTAATGGTTTCCCTCTCCCTCTCCTCATCTCTCTTGTTCTGTATGGTTTCTCACCTCTCCTTCTCACACTTCTCCTCCCGTCTCCCCCTGAGTCTTCCTCTCGTTCGGTATGTTCTCTTCTCCCTCTCCCTCTCTAGTCTCTTTCTTTCTCGTTCTGTATGGTCTCCCTCTCCCTCTCCTCTAGTCTCCACTCCGTTCTGTATGTTCTTTCTACCTTTGCTCTTCTCCCTCTCCCTTCTCCGTCTAGTCTCGTCGTTCTGTCATGGTTCTTCCTTCTTCCTTTCTCTCCCGCTCCCTCTCCTCATAGGTCCTCTCGTTCTGTATGGTTCTCCCTCTCCCTCTCCTCGTTAGTCTCGCTCGTTCTGTAGGTTCTCCCTCTTCCCCTTAAGTCTCTCCGTTCTGTATGGTTTTTTGTGCTTTTCGCCCTCTCCTCCCTCATCTCTTGTTCTGTATGGGTTCCACTCTCCCGCTCTCCTCTTAGTCACTCTCGTTCTGTATGGTTCCTCCACTCTCCCTCTCCTCAATAGTCCTCGTTCTGTCTGTTGGTTCTTCTCCCTCTCCCTTATCTCCGTTCTGTATTTGTTCCCCTCTCCTCATATTCTCTCGTTCTGGTATGGTTCTCACTCTCTCCCTCTCCTCTTATAGTCATCCCGCGTTCCGTATGTTTTCTTCTCCCTCTCCTCCCTCTCCTCTTATTCTCTCTCTCTCGTTCTGTATGGTCTCACTTCTCCCTCTCCCCTTAAGTCTCTTGTTCTGTTGGTTCTCCCTCTCCCCTTACCTCCTCGTTTCTGTATGGTTCTCCTCTCCCTCTCCTCTTAAGTCTCTCCCCTCGTTCTTAGGTTTCGCACTCCTCACTCTCCCCCTCCTCTTAGTCTCTCTTCCGTTCTGATGGTTCTCACTCTCCCTCTCCTCATAGTCCTCTCGTTCTGTATGTTCTTCTCCCTCTCCTCTCCTCGTAGTCCCTCTCATTCTGTATGGTTCTCACTCTCCCTCTCCTCATAGTCTCTCGTCTGTATGTTTCTCCCTCTCCCCTTAGTCTCCTCGTTCTGTATGGTTGTCATCTCCCTCTCCTCATAGTCCTCTCGTTCTGTATGGTTCTCTCTTTCTCCCTCTCCCTCGCCTCTTAGTCCGTCTTCTCATTCTGATGGTTCTTCCCTCTCCCCTCGCCTCTTTAGTCTCCTCGTTTTAGGTTCTCCGCTCCCTCTCCTCATATTCTCTCGCTCTGTATGGGTCTCCCCTCCCTCTCCCTCTCCTCTTAGAGTTCTCTCATCTCTGTATGGTTCTCACTCTCCCATCCCTCATGTCTCTCTCGTTCCTGTATGGTTTCCTCCCTCCCCCCTTAGTTCCCTCTCCGGTCTGTTATGTTCTCCCTCTTCCCCCTCCCCTTGCTCCTCGTAGTCGCTCGTTCTGATGGTTCTCCTCTCCCCTCCTCTCCCTCTCCCCTTATCTCGTGTTCTGTAATGGTTCTCCCTCTCCCCCCTTGGTCTCCTCGGGTCTTTAGGTTTCTCACTCTCCTCTTCCTCTTAGTCTCTCGTTCTGTATGGTTCTCACCTCCCTCTCCTCTATCCTCTCGTTCTGTAAATGGTTCTCCCTCCCCTTCTCCTCTTAGTCTCTCATTCTGTATGGTTCTCCCTCCTTCCCTCTCCCCTTAGTCTCTCATTTCTGGTGGTTCTCCCTCCCCTCTCCCTCATAGTCTCTCTCGTTCTGTAGTTCTCAAACTCCCTTCCTCCTCATATACTCGTTCTGTAATGGTTCTCTCTCCCCTTAGTCTCCTCGTTCTGTATTTTTCTCCCTCCCCTCTCCTCTTATTCTCTCGTTCTGTATGGTTCTCGTCTCCCTCTCCCTCTCCTCCATAGTCCTCTCGTTCTGTATGGTTCTTGCTCTTCTCCTCTCCCTCCTTCATAGTCTCTCGTTCTGTTATGGTTCTCCTCTCCCTCTCCCCTCTCCTCTTAGTCTCTTGTTCTTTATGGTTTATCCCTCTCCCTCTCTCCTCATAGTCTCGCGGTCTTTCATGGTTTTCTCCCTCTCCGTCATAGTCCCCTCGTTCTGTCTGGTTTCTCCCTCTCCCTCTCATAGTCCTCTTCGTTCTGGTAGGTTCTCCCTCTCCCTCTCCTCATAGTCCCCTTGTTCTGTATGGTTCTACGCGCCCCTCTCCCTTAGTCTCCTTCCCTCGTTCTGTATGGTTCTCGCCCTCTCCCTCTCATAGTCTCTCTCCTCGTTCGGTTATGGTTCTCCCTCTCCCTCTCCTCTTAGTCCCGCGTTCTGTTAAAGTGGGTTCTCCCTCTCCCTCTCCTCTTAGTCTCTCGGTTCCTGTTGGTTCTCCTCTCCCCTCCCTCCCTCAAGTTCTCTCTCGTCTGTATGTTCTCCCCTCTTCCCTCTCCTCTTATTCCTCCCCTCTTCGTCTGTATGGGTTGTCTCCCCTTCTCCCTCTTCCCCTTAGTCTCTCGGGTCTTATGGTTCTCCTCCCTTTCTCCCTCTCCCTCTCCTCATTGTCTCTCTCGTTCTGTATGGTTCTTCTCACCTCCCCTCTCCTCTTAGGTCTCCTTCTGTATGGTTTCTCACTCTCCCTCTCCTCATAGTCTCTCGTTCTGTATGTTCTCCCTCTCCCTTAGTCTCGCTCGTCGGTATTGTGCTCCCGCTCTCA